AATCCTGGTATCTCATTTTTCAGTCATTTAGTTCTCTCAGACTCCCAAAATGTGAGTACATATTCAGATGTGTTATTGGAAGACACCAACTTAAAGGGAGGCCTGAGAGCAATTTATTGCAAGTTCCCTGCCCGCCATTGTTTTTTTAATTTTGGTTCTTTGTTAAAAATACAAAATGATTAAACTTGCTTTCTCTAGATTACATAGGGAAATTTTTAAATATATTGCTAATAGAAGTTGTCCTTGTGAAAAGATTTTATTTTTCACTTTTCCAAGTTTTGTTTTGCTTTTTTCATGTAATTTATCTTTGTCTGTAAGGCAAAGAACCTATTTTGAAAGTGTTCCTGATCTAAGTAAGAATGCGTTTTGAAATTTCTCTAAAGATATCTTACTAGGGCTGGCCTGATCGCTCAGCAGAGCACAGCTCCTGGGGTTCAATCCTCCAGGGCACGCTGAGTCTGCTGAGACTAGGTGTAATCCTAGGTGTGCCTGTAATCCCAGTGCTTGGGAGGCTGAACACAGGAGGATCACAGTAGGATCTGTGTAGTGAGACCCTGTAGACCCTGTACTAAATACATTTTTTTAAAAAACTAAAATAAATGAACTCATAAATAATTTTTTTTAAAGTTACCTTACTTAAACTGGCCTGTACTAGAATTTTAAAAGATAGGTTACATTTTTAAAATACACCATTTTTGTTAAGGTCGGATGGAATTGGAAACATAATTGACATCATCCAAGAATACTCTTAATGAACCTGCAGGGCCTCCGTAGTCTTCATTTGCAGCTACACTGAACCTCATCATGTTGGCGTGGGATCGGGCACTTCTGACTCTAGTATTCAATTGCTAAAGAGTAACCCTTTTTGTGTGGAGTCCCGATGCAATAGTTTTACTTTCTGATTTGAAACAGTATTCACAGAACCTGAAGTAGCCCATGTTCTCCCATGGGTCTTTTCAGATTCAACACAGAAAAGAAGGGAGAAACTAGTAAGACTAAGCGATCACTGCATTTATTAAAGGTGTGCCGTAAATGCCTTTGAAGGCATTCGCTACTGTTACTGAGGGATTTTTCCTTCTATCATCATTGATGTGAAACAAAATCCACTTATAACCTACTTGCAGTGTGAATGCAGAGCCACAAGGCCAGCTGTCTGTTGTGCGAATCTGTGTCTCGCCCCCACTGCTCTCCAGAGCGTAGATTTGCACGTCCTATTTGAACAGGAAAGGGGCCTCTTGTATTAGGCAGTGTTTCCGCTTTGGGTTGCTAGGGGCTTGAACCCAGGGCCTTAGAACTGAGCTGCATCCCTAGCCCTTGTTTTCATTTATTTTGGAACAAGCTCTCGCTAAAGGGCTAAGTTACCTAGGTTGTACTCAAACTTGCAGGCTTCCTGCCTCAGCCTTCCAGTGGCTGGGATGACCGGTGATCGCCCCAGGCCTTGCAAGGCCATGCTTTAAGTACAACGGCTCAAAACACAGTATTTTTACAATTGTATTTCTACACACACAGCACACCAACTAGAGTACACCAGAGAGTATGGATGTGTTTTAGAAAGGACAGTTTCTCACCTCTTGTCAGGAAGCCAGGTACTTACTTGTGCATTCTTTCATTAGCATCATTGCGGGCAAGAATACACCTGTGTACCTGGTTACCCCACAAGTGTCTGTGTGTTTGCTTCGGGTTACATTGCTGTCAGATAGTCCATGACTGCCCCCTCCCAGTGAAAAGGTTATTGCTGGAAATGCATTTTTCCCATGTACATTGTAGAGGAGAATTTTATTGTTCAGGAATTTCAAACGAATGAAGTGGACACTTCATTGGTCTATTTAAAAACTGCTTCTTCAAATGCAGGTAGTACTTGACTTTTCTGTTTTCCAGATACTGTAGAGACCCTGCCATGGTTTGACATTTGTTAGTAACAGAAACTGAAGTTAGTTTAAGACAGAGGTAGGAGATAGGTAACTCACTGATCGAACCATTATACAAGTCTGCACAGAAATTAGTGTTAGTTGCCTGTGCTATTATTCAATGAAAATATAAAATCACAAACACAGCCCTTTCTATACCTGCAGATTTTGATTTATAATTGTCATAATCCCCATTGTATAAGGAAGCATATTTTATAGGTAATATAATATATGATTTCCAGCTCCCTAGTAGCTTTACAGAAAGAGTATCTCTGAACTTGAAGCAGATACTGGCATTTCCTTCCTCTCTGGTCCAGCTGTCCCATAACAATGCTTGACTATTGTCGCAGGTGTCTCCAGTAACCGCAGAGGCTGTTAAGCGTGGCTGGGGCAGGTGTGCTGCTTTGTATGAATTTAGCATTTCCTCCAATCCTGTCAGCATGTGAACCCTGGCAAAATTATTCAACTTGATTCAAACCACTTTGAAGCTTGTCTTTCACCAACTAAAGTCGAGCCTGAATGATCTTCTTTCCTCGCTGTTAACAGCCACAGCCTCCCTCAGCCATGTCCTAGGATCTCCTCAGATCCAGTCTTCTAGAAAATACAGGGTGGTTTTCACGTTGACTTAGTGCCTCAAGTTGGTAGTCACTCTTAGTGACTCTTTTTGCAGTAATATTGAAGAATCTTCAGCAAGAAAGTCTTACATTGGAATTTTAATTTGGCTAAATATAGATAAAACTTTGGCACTGTCTCTCTCCCCCCACCCCTCCTGGGGATCAAACTCAGGACCTTGTGCCTACCGGGCAGGTGCTTAAGCCACTGAGTCATCTCCCTAGCCCCATTTCTGCTCTCCTAAAAACACCTGAAGCTCTAGTAGCTCTATGAATTGACTAGAGTAGGACACCAGTGCCCTTTGGTTACCGTTTAAAAAATGGAATCATAATTTTTTTCCATGACATTTGGAGACATATGGAAGCATCATATAAATTCTATATACTATTTACACATGCAATATAATGCTTTGTTGTTTGTTTTTAAGTTTAGAATGTGGAAGAGAAATCTTAATAAGTAGGAACCAGGTACATACTTGGTTGTTTCGTTTTTGTGTGCTTTTGATTTCTGGTTCTTAACCCAGATACCCTTGAAGAGAAAAATTAGTCATTAAATTCCAGCAAACTGTCTGTTGCATTCATTTCCACATCCCGTAAATACTGTGGGAACTTGATGTTTTTATTTACATAGTGTTCTTATAAAATGAGATTTTTTCCTGGTGTCTCTTAAACATCAGAGATTCAGCCAGCCTAAGTCTTGTGATCGGGCCAATTCTGTGCAAATCGTGATTGTATTAATGTGGAAACTGAGGCAATAGTTTCATCTAAAAAGGACTTTTTTTTTTTCCTTCAATGAAGTACACCAATCATCTTGAGGGAAAGAATTATAAATGAAGGGAGTGGCACTATTAACTAAGTACTTAGTACATATTTTTTTTTAATTCATTTTCAATGAGTGGTTAAAAAGCCTAACTGTTGGAAAGCCAATGAAGCCAGCAAGTAGACCTTTTTACACATTTAGACATTTGAAGCCCTGGGACTTGACCACCAGTTAATAATGGCTGAGGCTTTTTCCGAAAGTGCACTTGCTGGCTCTCTTCTATTTCTGGAGCATCACCTGCTGTATTTTATTTAGTTACTTATTAATGCTAAGCAAATACAAAACATGAAAAAGCATTACAAACATTTAGGCTCATCTAACAAGTCTATGAACTGAAATGATACCCTTTGAATAAGACTTGTTAATACGAAAGTTGGCAATTCTGCACCGGAGATCTTTGGATACTGAGAGGAAGTCAGAGAGAAGGAGAAGCCCCTTATAATACCTGGATAAAGAGCTAACTACAAATGGCTTCTTTACTTTTAAATGCAGAATCCAATCCCATGGAAGTTACTTTTAAAAATATAGGAGTTGGGGCTGAGGATATAGCTCAATGGTCTAAGTACCTGCCTGAAAATATAGGAGTTAACTTTGGCTTTCACTACAGGCCCAGTTTTGTTTTTAATGTATTATTGATTTGAACACTGCCTGTGACTGGGTCACAGGTTAGGCCTACGATAAATACATCACAAAGGAAAGTCACTGGGTGACTCTTCCAGCTTACATCTTAGTGTATAGAAAGGCTGAAAAATCACATGAAATTCCTATAGAACTGGCCTATTTGAGTGGTCCTGGGTTCAAATGAACACGTAGTACTATACTTTTTTTAGGTGGGGGAAAAGTTAAAATACAAACAGCTAATGCATTGCTTATGAATTCTCACAATTAGCAGGGTGTGGTGGCATGTACCCGTAATCCCAGATACTCAAGAGGAGGCAAGAAGATGGAAAATTTGAGGCCAACACGGGCAACTTAAAAAGATTCCTATATCCAAATAAATAAAGAGCTGAGCATGTAACTCAGTGGTAGAATGCTTGCCTAGCATGCATGAATTCAACCCTAGGTTCAGTCTCCAGGCCCACCAAAAATAACAAAAAGATGTATCAATTAAAGGTGATAATAATTTGGAGTGTAAATATAGGTAATGACTTTCAATGAATTTGCTCACTGAAAAATAGAACATTTAAGTGTTGCCAGTATTTACTATACTTAGCAATCCAAATTGATTTTAGTTTGGCATTCGGTCTCTTAATATATATTGAAATGGCATCAAAAAAATTGCCTAAAAAAGGCAAATTAGGCTGCTCTTAACAAAGCAAAAGTACATCTGTGTAAGAAAGGGAGAGAAATAGTTAAAAAGTCTACTAGACATTGCCCTTTTGCAGCCTGTGAATATAGTATTTTCTAAAAGTAATAATTAGCCTGCATATCATTTTGATGCCCCAAGCTACATCCTACTTACCTTTCAGCGCATCGTACACCTCCCCCTCCAAAGGCATCAAGTTTCATACAACAGTCAACATTTCATGACAATCCCTGTTCACATACGAAGTTTGAAGTGTCACGTATAAGACTACGCGCACAATCCCCCATCCCTTGTCTCTCAACCACGGCAACTAAGAGAAAGGAGGAAGGGAGTACTGATTATACGTAGAAAAGATGATTTTGCTCTGTATTTAATGTAGTGAATGGGGAGTCAACATTACCATTGAACAAAACTTCTGAAACGGTACAATGAAGCCAACAGAAAGCAGTCATCTGTTAATGGTTACTATCCACTAGATACATCTGAGGTTGTAGGATATCAGGCTTTTACAGACATCTGAGCAGACATTGTGGGCACAGAACATAAATCTCACACAAGGCATAATTGAAAGTTATTTCAAACAAATTATCAGTAAACTCCAGCGACATTAACTTCATGAAGTAATATGTTTTAGCAACAAACAGTGATGGTATGCAGGTGTAGGCCTGTCATCCTAAACATGGTGCACTATAGTATATTGAGGTCAAAGCCTTTCTGTAGAAAGGGAATTTAATTGACATTCTTTCAAGCATAGTATATAAACAGATCAAAATAGTTCTATTATAAGAAATAGTATTTAACAACATATCTCTAAAATAAAAATACTTTAAAAATCAGCTTCGATGAGATTAAATTTAAAGAATCTTCCTTTAGAGTGAAATATATTCTCTTGCTTTCTGCTTCTGTTTTCCAGCATAATTCCCACCCTTACCCATCTCAGTTAATAAAGTAGTGCAAAAAACATCGTGCAGCAGCTTCTCCCATGTTTGGTCCCCTACCACGTCAGAGAATTAAGACATTCCCACTCACCAAATCAGAAGTATGTTCCCTCGATACGCCAGGGCCTTAGGTACAAAAGCTGCTGTCAGGCTTGGGGAGTGCCGTTTCTAAGTACAGATTTTATGGTAATTTGTGAAACATTTTTAAAGGCAACCCCCATACACAGTTTATTTTACAAAACAGGTTTTCATGCATTCATATTATCAAGAATGTTTTTCATAAATGAATGTAATGAAACACTGCGTATCACTTAACACACCGCATTCTCCTCTACATGAAATTCACACTAACAACAAAATTCATGGTAGGTAATTAAAGCGCTTCAGTAACCTAATGAGAAAGCAGGTTTTTTTTTTTTCTTTGAGAACATGTGAGTATGAAATATTTTTAGATGCACAAAGGTATAATTTGACTTCAGAAGCAATGTGTATTTCTTTTACTAGGCTTTTTTAATAACTGAATTGAGTTGCTAATTTGCTAATTCAGTACAAATTAAAGTAGTGGTACATATAAAAATTCAGATAGGCAATCATTTATAAACCTGGCAGTATTTATGTTATGTAGTCCTGCAGAGAGTTTAAGGTTTTGCACTTGATCTTAGCCAAAAGGCCGAGAAGCGATGAGTTTAAGGTTTTGGATGGAATGGTAGAAGGTTTGTAAGCTTTCTGTACAGTATCTGAGATTCTCTTGAAGGAATAGAAGTACCTGTACACACTTGTTTAAAGCTGGCCTACTCGTACCTAATTAATTTGCACAGGAGTGAGTTTGGGGGTTTATGTTAAAGTGAAATGCATTCTCTCCATTATTCAGGCTTTGGGTTTTTTTTTCCCCTTTTGAAATGTATAAAACATAGAAAACTGTAATGGATTACTTTTCAGGTAAAAAATAGTCACATTCTAAAAAAAACTTTAAAATCAAATTGACATTTACATTTGATGTAGATTCAATGATCACATTTGTGCATTTAATCTAATATTCTGGTTCTTCCACTTGGACTTAAAGAAGTGTGTATTCTCCAGTGCTACCACCTATAACATTTATTCTTTCAGTGTTATATGATTCTCCACACCTAACAAGGCTTTCATACGGCAGTAGCTAAACCTTTATCAAGTTGAGTCTGTACAATAGAAGTATATTTTCCAAGACATGTGCCTTTGTACACTATTTACAAATTCTCTCAATCATGATAAAAAGGCAAAATAAATAAAAAGCAGAAAGAAAGGAAATGCTGCTGAGGCTGAATGCTTTTTCTTTTATCTTCCCAAACAGATGCTGGTCTCCTCAGTGCTGGGAGCTGGCTAGCCAAGATTGTTTTTCTTCCTTTTATATGGGCTGTGAGAAGGATCTGGTTTCAGTTCTTGGTATTGCACCTGTTTAAACAGAGTTCAGAGAAAGACTGGTCAAGTGGCCACTTTCTGGCAAGGGAAGGAAAAGCAAAGGAATGAGAGAGTGCTTGGGGGAAAAGAGCTCACTCTAGAGGCTGATTGGGCTCTGCAGCTGGGCTGCAGAAGACAATAGAGTGATAGAACACCAGGCAGAAGGGAAACCTGCACAAAACCTCATGGTGCCCTCAAACGAACGCTGGCCTAGGGTCATCACTGACCATCACACATTACATTAAAAGCAGAACCACCTCACTCTGTTGGAAAAGATTAGATGATGGTTCTCTGTGATTTATTTGTTGAATACAATCTCAGTCTTTTATTTGTTGAATACAATCTCAATCTCCATCTATCCCGTTCACACATATGAAATGAAAAACTCAACTGAAATGGAGGAAAAGGGGATCCCTACAACTCCCCTTCAAGATTTTGTAAACTATTGGTTAACAGGCCTCAACTGCAAAGATTTCAAAGGATTTTTGAAATGGGTTCAGGTCTTAAAAAGTAGTTAGCTTCTTCCTCCCTCAGCTCTAAAATTTGTATCTTTAAAATTCATTTAATGTGCATATTCTGGGAAACTGTTTTCCTCAGATGTCCACTGATACATTTTGCTTTCATCGTCTCTCTCTCTTCAGATCATGATGAGGTTCCCTCATAATTCCAGCTAAGGACCGTCTAAATAGCTCAGCAGATTAAAGTGCCTGCACGCAGGCACAGGGGCCAGGGTACGATCCCGGGGCCTGCTGTGCTGGCCTCATCCCCTGGGCGCAGTGAGATGGCAAATGAGACTGGGCGTGGTGGCGCGCGCCTGTAATCCCAGCACTTGAGAGGCTGTAAACAAGAGAATCACTACAAGTTCAGTCTAGTAGTGAGACCCTGTAGACCCTTCCCTAAAATACAGGAAAAAAAAAAATCCAGCTGAACTTAGAGCAGCACTCTCCCTACACTGTGCCACGTGGACTCATTCTCCTACTTTCCATTCTTCTGTAAGCTTTTTCTTGAGGCAAACCTCAAGTAGGCTGAATTCTTGACTGGTAAAACCTGCACAGGTTTCACTGACTTTACCAGTCTTTCTAAAACATTTGACAGTAAGCGGAAATGAAAGTTAAAACCAGTGCCACACTATACCACAGTAATAATAGGAATAATAGGAATAATAAACCTACATACCACTTGTACATCTGAAGGGACTCTGGAAAGGAAGTCAAGTAGTTCATTGTTATCAATTGCGTATGGACTTCGAAGCTTTTTTGTAAATTTATTGATGCCTAAAAAAGTGATGAGTCGGCATTATTGAAATCTCTATGAAGTTTAAGTTACATAAACAAATCTCTGGCAAACGTGTTAGAGTGATTTGAAGCTCCAGTTGTATGTTCCCCACCCCCAACGTTGAATGAATGAACCAATGCGCCCAGGCATACAGCCCACCCCACTCCCATGTTGATGCCTTCCTGAACACCTCTTCCCAATTCAGGTGCTGCCTGTTTTTTTTCTCTTTGGCTTTATTACCCTCTTCCTAACAGGAAAGGCTTTCCGCTTGGGAAACAAAGGAGGCTACCTAGAAAGAATAAACAACATCTCACACCCCAGCTCCCCTGAGGTACTTCTAAGTTACAGTTTTTAGAAGCCTTGCTTTTATGTTTCAACTGTGATGCAACTTGTCTTCCTGTACTTTGGGGTTGAGATTAACAAGGCAAGAAGTCTGAATGGTTTCTCTTTCTCAGAAGATACATCTCTTAAGGAAGCTAAACGCTAAGAAGATGCAGGACCTTGATTCTTTCAAACCTGAAAGGGGGTAGGGGCTGCCACCAGCTTTTTGAAAAATAAAGATTATACAGAATCAATTTCAAGCTGTTAAAAACTGAACCATACACAGACTTGACTAGTGCATCTGGGCTTTTCGTCATGGAGTTCATGCAGAATGAACTTCTGGAATCTTGATTTTGGTCTCTGTCTCCCCCTGTATGACCTGTGTCTTAGATTTCAGGGTAACATTTCAGCAATCACCTGCCACTAAAGGAATACTGTTCTTGTTTTATTTCATTGGATGAATAAGAGGCCCAAACACATTCTCTAAAATTACTTTTAAGAGGGCAGGCCAGTGAGGCCACCACAGGTTACATGGCCAGATGTCTGCCCTGGTCTCTAAGAACCTCAAGCACTAAGGTGGGGGGCAGGATTGCCACCTGTATACAGAGCTGGACAGGCAAGTTGAGCCTAAAGAGGTGAGAGTTCATAATGGGCCCATGTGAAACCCTCCCCTAAGTCCTTCAGCGGCACAGCATCTGCTTTAAGTATCACAGAAGAATAAAAGATGGGGCTTGAATGTACAATCGGGAAGCAAGGCTACGATGCAAAAGTCTCATCCTTTGTATCATGAAAGGATGCTCAACTGAATTTCTATACATTGTTGAAATTAGTAAAGAGGAAAAAAGCCATCACTTTGCTCACTCTGGGATCTACAAGGTAATAAAAGTGGGGAGGGCGGCTCTGAGCGCCTGCTCATGATGACAAGAGGGGCTGAGGAGGATGGGGGCAGGAACCCTAAAGCTGGAGGGCTTAAAAGAATAAGAACGGTGCTCACTTTATTTCAGTATATATATATGTATATTTAAAGCCTTGAAAAGAATTTTAAAACTTCTTTTAATCTCTTTGCTTTTAGTGCAAACACTGACGTTAAGGCCGTTTTCAGTCCCTTGCATTTTGTATGAGTTTAGCCATCTTAGGTATACATGTATTCAGGTGAGAGGTAAGTAGAAAATTCTTCTACCTAGCCTTGTTTATATTATTAAATATATAAGTTCGTGATTTATAGTCTATATTTATTTATATGTTATCAGATGCTTAAGACTAAAAAGGGGGCTTTCAAAATGAAAATGTCACCAAGAAAAGAATACTTGAAGTACACTGAAACAGACTACTTTTCACTAGCATCTGGGTATATAAAAATTATTGGTGAGGGCTGGCCAGATAGCTCAATGGACTAAAGCACCTGCTTAGGCAGAGCGCAGTGGCTGGGGTTTGATCCCAGTGTGCCATGCCAGCCCCACCCCTGGGGCATGCTGAGCCAGGCAATTGAGACTGGGCGTGGTAGCGCACGCCTGTAATCCCAGCACTTGGGAGGCTGAAAACAGGAGAATCACTATGAGTCTGGTCTATGTAATGAGACCCTGTAGACCCTCTCCTAAAGACAGAAAAGAGAAAGAAAATTATTGGCATGCAGAAAAATTGCATTACAAATTAGGGTCAAAAATAAAATTATCTTTAAGTAGGTTTTTGTAGGTGCATATAAAATGGGGTTTTTGTTGTTGTTGTTCTTCAACCCAGGACTGTCAGTGACCCAGAATCCAAAAGGTGACATCTTAAACAAGTGACCATGTACAGTATCATGTGTACATACACTTCCACAAGATAAAGTACCACAGCAAAAAAGCATATTCTAGATGCACCATATGGATTAAAATGCTTCTGTTGGTATATAAGTGGTATAAATAAATCAGAACGATATCTAGATAAAGTTACACCTTGATGTATGAAGAATCTGCACAACTGCATGTTCATAGTATGATGGAACCTATGGTGCCAGATAAGAAAAATGCGTTTTGCAGGTAGACCTAAATCTTTATATTATTGAGATTTTTAACTGACCCGTCTCTTTTCATCACAGAGTGGTTACATGGCCATAAAAATAGGGAACTACTGACAGCATAACTCATCCCTTAAAAAAGAGTTTATTCTTAGCAGCGAGGACCATTTTTTTTAAAGGCTTCACTTACCCCAGACAAGGACAATGTATCTCAGTGGAATGAAGTATAGGATGACTGTGAACACACAGAGGGCCACGATAGCCAGCCAGCTTAGAAATGGGACGGTCCAGTTGAAAGTACTGAATGAAAAATGAACACATCAGCAATCTGAGCACATCACACTTTTTTCAAACAAAGGCTTGTGTTAGTGAGTGTGATTCTGACTATCTTGGAACCCAGTCAGCTGCCTTTCATTCTGGAGTAGAAGCCCACTGTAGACTATCAGAGGATGCAGCTTACTTAGTACAATCTCAGGTCCAAGAACCCCACCAGACTGTCCCAGATGACTTCACAATTTAAAATCATGGCACTCGGTGAGTGAATACCCACGTAGTAAAAACATTTTTGTTTTTCCACTGCTAAAAGTATGAGTAAGCCTTGTTTTCTTTAAATATTTACGGAGTGGAACGCACCCAGACCTACCCTTCTCCCAGCTCTCAGTAATCCCCACACAGGAAGTAAAATATTTCCAGCAATTGTCCATAGATGTCAATCTTTGACTATTATGTAAATGCTCTGAGTTTCAGAATTCCTTAGAGGAATACTCCCTTCCTACCCAGCTGTGTTTTAAATGGAACTGGCAATCAGAGGCAAAGCAGTTAACCCAGTAAAACTTGACCTGTTACCATCGTCCTCCTTCACTAAAATACATGTATGGTTAAGAAAGTCAGCAGTGTTTCACTCTCCTTCCTTGAATAAGCATGGGAGGCCATGCACTGGGTCTGTGGCATAAACTGAGGAAAGAGAGTGCAGGCTAGACAGGTGTGACAGCGGGGCAGGACGGATGGTGTGCAGGGCTGCTGTCCCTCTGATGACCGAGTGTGAAGGCCTGGGTCAGAGCAGCCAGGCAGTCCTGCCAGTCACACAGAACAGCAAGTGCAAGACAGGCTCTGTGAACAGAAGGCGGGGAAGTCAAACAACATATAGTGGAGACGGGAAGGAATTCATGTGGGACAAAAGGAAAAAAGAATGAAGGAAAAAAGGCAAAGTACTACTTTTTAAAAGACAGTATAGGCAATCAAGGAAATGGAAAATGGAAAGCATAATTTAAGCTTTTTGTATGGAAATTCTGTGGTGATTTTGATAGTTTTTAAGAAAAAAACCCAAAATTACATACTAAATAAAAATTGCCTAGAGCCTCCAAGGTTGGACATATCACAATTTACAGCACACCATTGCATGCTTTCATGTCGCCCTGATGGTCAGCTGCTGAAGAGGATCTCGTACGATGTTGACTGGCCCTTCAGCACAACTGCTGAGTGAAAAGGAGTTGGCGGCTTTGTCCAAGGCCTGGACTCTGTTACATGCCTTTGGATGAGCTGGTCTCATTTGATTCTGTTACAGGATTAATGGTGAGTCATTCCCATGGCTCACCACCTCCTACTTTCACCATGAGGATAGTTTTTAGTGTCAAGGAAGGAAGGCTGATGATGGTGAGTATGTTTATGTGAATCAAGGTCAACACCTTATTAGTGCTAATGAACCCCAAGAGTCTTGAGTACAGGCAGTCAGAAGGCTCCAAAGGTAGTTCAGAAAACTAGGAAATTGTTCATGATATAGATAAATGTTAGTCTTATTTCTCCTGACTTTCCAGTAATAGACATTGTAATTATTTGGAGTTGGGTTTGGTCAGGGCAATTTTGATCCAATAAAACATGATTACTAGGAAGAATGTTCCTTGTACAGTACTTTAGCATAATGTGTAAGCAGTGTTCCTTAGTTCTGTGGCACGTAGCTTGCTTTTATGTCTGGTGTTCCCTAAAATTGACTTTTCTAATAAGTGATGCAAAGTTGGATCCGTCTGTCCTGTTTTCAGGAACCCTTGGAGTCCGGCTTTTTGTCTCATGCTTTTGTTTCTTTCCTCTCTGGTCAGGCAGCGAGCATCCTGTGACCGTCAGCAAGTGAGACATCAGGCCTCCCTTCCTTGGTGGACACCTGTGCTTCCCTCACTCTGCCTGCTTGTGGAGCGAACAGAAGGCTGAGGGTCTGCTTGCTGCCCTGTGGCTCAGCTCGGAGCCATCCATCACTCCACCCCGTGCATGCGGGCACTGGCACCGCTCACGGAAAACCTTCCTCCTCCGGGCAGCCCCGCCGAAGGGTTCCTTCCAATAGGAGGAAGGAAAAATGGCAAAGAATCCTGTCCTGTGGAGCTAATGCTAGTGGGAGGAAGCTTACTTTTTCTATTCCACACTTTGCATTCTGGAATCTAAATCTAGAGTATGCTCTTCCCCCCAAAAGAGTTGCAATTGAAGAAAGTTCTGGAAAGATTATGTAGTAAGATATGGTACTTATAGAGATTTTTGATTACATGCTTAAGGATTGCTTCTGTGTCTGCTTCCTGGATAGATGCTTTTGATCTCATGTAACCCAGAGTGTATGCTTTTTAAATACACAAAACATAATTGTGGTGCAGAAGCAATAAGATGGACGGATCCTATGCCATCTTCCTGAACAGGGATGGACATAGAAAGTTCTACATAGCCCAGGTTGCCAAGCCTGGTCCACTGCCATGATGCAGTCATACCCTTCCCCTGGCCATCCTGTTCTGCAGCTAAGCATCTGTTTGAAGACCTCCTCCTGCTTGAGCCAGGGAAGAACCTCTTCCATCAGGCACTCACTAGCCTGGCCTGAGGTGGGAGCTGCCCCAGGTCTGCTGGTATAAGTGAGCGGTTTCATGCACATATCAGCACTCTTTGAGCCCCAGAGAAAGGACAGTGCTGTGGAGGGAAATGCTCCAAACTTAGGGCTGTGTGCTGTGCCTCAGTGAATAGGATATAGAGAATAGGGGTGCATTCTTAAGATGTGGGTCTGAGTCTTTAGAAGTCCAAGGCTGAATGTTGCTGAGGGGCACATTTGAGAGCGAGAGGGAGGCCATTCTGTCTAATATAAGAAAAGTGAAAACTCAGCACCTATCCATATGTGGAAATATATTAAACAAAAAATTATACAAAATAAAATGCATTATCCCTTGCCACATGAAAGGCACCGGATGAATGACTCACACCTTTAGTTTAAATAATTTACTCCTTTCAAATTCTATATATGTCCAAGGATCTAAATCTGCAGAACACTTTTGGTTATGAATAATAAACAGTAGGAAGATATATGAAACCGGGAAAATACATCTCATCCAGAGACACAGCACCCTTTCTTGACCAGATCATTAACAGTGGCTTTATAGGCCAGTTCGCCTATTAGTTAGGGACCTGCTATCTCTGTAACTCATTGTTACTGTAAGTTTACCTAAAATCACTTTGAAAACTTTAGTAGATGCAGTTATTTATAATAAAGCGGTATAGGACTGTCAGTTTATTAATTTTATGTTAAATCTCACTAGAGTTATGTTTATTTAAAAGTTAAGAAAAGGGAATTCAGTTTATTCTAATTGCTGATTTTTCTCAATGACAAACATTGATAATTAAGATACTGGCTATCAAAGTTGAATGAACTTGTTTTGAAAGAGTGCTATCACATAACAGACTTTTAAAAAAAGTTTAGAGTAACTTGATGAGGCCAAGAGTAGTCTAATAGCACAGTGCAAGGTGTCTTGATTACCTGAAATCCTCATGTAATTTGGATTTGTTCTTTCCTATGATTTCATATTCCATTTAAGAACAAAGTCTTTCACTGTGAAAAATGTGCTAAAATTTAGGACGGTGTTATTTCTTCAAAGCTACAAGTATGACTTCTTTCCAACCAATATGTTCTGAATTTCAGGCAGGAAATTGACAGAACTTTCATAACACCAAAGACTGGCAGACACACAGTAAATAATGATGAAACTGAGCAATAGATCACCCAGAAGGTGGCTCTCTCGCCAGAGAGAGGAACACACGGACACCCTGGCCCACAGAAGGCCTGGCCCACGTGCCAGCATCACTCACTTCTTTATCCTTTCACCAAAGGAAGCCACTTCATCTAGGATGTTCTGGACACTGACACATACTTCCTGGATGGCATAGATTTTGTTGATAAATCCCTTTTTTTCACTGTCCTGAAATGCAACAACAACAAAAAGAAATTCTGTATGAATAAAAGATATTTTTCAGTGCCTGAATTCTGTAGGTTGATCCTCCCATGTATTTTCAAATTTAAATAAACACTATCTCCAGTATCTATATGTAGATTTTGTAGTAAGGGTAGAGGAGGAAGGAAGCCAACATCATGGAACCATGTACCTAATAAAAATGGCTGCAGTGCAAGACCCTCAAATGCTGTTGCTTCACCCTGGTGAACAGAAATGTCAGTGGGAGTAGGACACTGGCTTGGAGGGAGGGCAGATCTTAGAATCACTACCTGGAATTCACACTGACCCAGAGCTTACCATGACTATTTAGCACACCCAGTTTTTTGACCCTACCAGTCACAGACCTAAGCCTGGTGGTGGCTCTGGATAGTTCATCAGCCAAAGATGCTTGGTACAAACGAGAAGACCTATAAGCAATGAAGAAGGCAAAGAATGACAATGGCAACTAAAATCCATTGTGTGGACACTTTCTAGATCACACGCTAAGCTTGATTCCCCCTCTTAAAAAGAATATTCTTCCATGTTAATACAGTGGCATGTGCTATCAGTCATGGCTCTAGTTGAACACCCCACTGTATCTGTACCTAATTCATTGTACATCTTATGTGGAATTTTAGCAAGCTCATGTTCTCTGGGGAATGGTGGGGAGGGACTGCGTTGGGATTGAGCATGAAGCACTCAGGGTGGTGTGAGCCTAGGTAGGGCAAATGTGCCTATTTTGTAATTTTAGATCCAGAAGAAAAAAATAGTGGTGGCCTTTCACGACTGAAGATTCTGCTTAGTAGCCTGGCATCACAGGCACATGCCTAGGCTGTTTGGTGGAGACCATCCAAGCCTCATTCCATGACTCCATTCCTCTATGCCAGCTTGAATATCTATGGAAATGTAGATCCAATTTCATTACTTTTAACTTCTTTTGAACACTTGCATATTATGCCAGAACACTTGAGACCTCATGTGGCAGGCAGTGCCTGCTGAAAGCAGCCAGGAAGCTAGAATAATAATGTCATGCTGCACATTTGCATACTGACTTTCATTTCAGAAGAGTTGAAAGCACTTTACACGGTGAACACTTGGCCAGGGCTGGCACCCTGCCACCCAGAAGCCAAGGGTGAGTGCATCGCAGGTGTGCGTGCATCCTCCAAGGACAACGCGGTGCGCAGGGACCACTGGCCTAAAGGCCAAGTCCATAACTCGATCTGTAGTATAGATACCAGCTCCTTCCACTTTCATTTTGAATTGGATACCATGGGAGACGCGGTCTACATTATTCATCTTATCACGTTTCGGCCTTTTGGCTAAGATCAAGTGTGGTATTCATCTTGCTTATGCCAAAACAGATTGTCAGACAATGAGTTAGAGAAGACACATAGAACAGCATGGGAAACAGCATTCCCAACTATCTACAAAAGTCGCCCTCGCCTTGATGGACTTGCCTGCATTAATTTCTTTTTTCCCTCTCCTTTTAATAAAGCAAAATGCATTAATTTCATCTCCACAGTTAGGCACTTTAAAATAAAAAGAAACATCTTGTGACTCCGACCACGTCCATTTGTACCTACAAAGTTAATCGGCATGGCCCATCCGGTTCTCATCGCAAGCACCAGTTAAGTTCATTTATGTCTATGAGGCAAAATCTCCTTATAAACCGCTTACATGTACAGGGAAGAGAAAGCTGGAGGGCTCAGTGTATAACAGTAGGAAGCATGTGCTTTAGCATAGGCAGAGCGCTGGGTTCGATCCCCCATACCAAAAAAGAAAAATAGGTAGCGTGCAAGTTGTACAGTGAAAGTCCAGAAAAAATAAGATCTTTCTAGTTTAAAAATTATGTGAAAATGTTTCTTTCACAATAACAATATAAAATATGTAGGCATAACGTTAACAAGAAATGTGCAACAGTATCTGAGAAACATAGAGATTGCATTTGTTTTTTACAATATTTTTTATGTATTTAGTACAGGGTCTACAGGGTCTCACTACACAGATCAGACTCATAGTGATCCTCCTGTTTGCAGCCTCCCAAGCACTGGGATTCCAGGTGCACACCGCCACGCCCAGTCTCAGTAGCATTCTCAGTGTGCCCTGGGGGCGGGGCTGGTACAGCATGCCCACTGGGGATTCAAACCTTAGTGTTTGCCTAAGTAGGGGCTTTAATCCGCTGAGCTGTCTGGCCTGCCCAGAGATTGTGTTTAATATTACAGTATTGACTATTAAAATCTTTTTCAGTTAAATATAATCCAAACAGATTTTAATGTTCAGAATATAGTGAAATGGAGAGAACTTGATAAAGGGCTTCTAAAATTTGTTTGGAAGAATAAATGGGTGACTACAGCCCAAAAGTTATTTTTTTATACATTTATTACTTTTTGTGCTGTGCATTGAGGCCGGGACCTCCAACATGCTAGGCATGTGCTCTGCCACTGAGCTATCTTCTCAGCCAGACAAGAACATTTTGTGAAATATTCGGAAATATTCGGAATTTAGTAGGTGGGGTACTTGGGCAAGGAAAGGGAGATGCAGGCCTCGAGAAACTTTTATCTGGAGCACGCTCGTCATAGCGAAGGTGTGGCCTGCACCCAGGCTGTGCTCACTCTAAGTTCTAAAGCTAAAAAAGAATCCTGAAAAGGCAAGAAAGGCAAGTTATTTACTATTTCTGGAATAGAAACTTCCTAAACACACAAGCAGTAAATCACCAAGGAAATACTTGATAGCAACAGTTATGTAAAATTAAAAACTTTCTGTGACAAGTCATCATCAATTTAAAAGACTGGGGCTGGGGTAGAGCTACATGTCATGTGTGTGTGATTCACAGGGCTCAATCCACACCATCATGGGGGGGGGGAATATAGATATAGATATAGATATAGATATATGCAAAGATTGCAACAAATGTGACAAATGATGAGATGATACTTAATTCAGTGAACATCTGAAAAACTTTCATTGCTGTTTTGCTTATAATAAAGTATCATTAACATACTGAGTAGGATTTATTATGAAATCATAAAATATTTAGAGAGTAATGATAACAAAAGTGTTGACGATCCAACAGGAATATAAAGTGGGAAGTAAATACAATGTATAATATAATCCTAACATGTTTATGTCTCTAGATTGACAAAAAAAATGAAAGCAAAATATTCAGGCAATGCAAGATCATCTTCATGTCACCCGATAAGATTCTAGGTAACCTATCAGAATTACTATATCAACAATTAATATATTAGCAATTAATATATCAGAAATATTTTTGTAGGGCTGGCCAAATAGCTCAGCAGATTAAAGTGCCTGCAAGCAGGCATGGGGCTGGGGGCTCAATCCCAGCCTGCTGTGATGGCCCCACCTCTGGAGCATGCTGAGGCAGTGATTGAAACTGGGTGTGGTGGCGCGTGCCTGTAATCCCAGCTCTTGGGAGGCTGTAAACAGGCGGATCACTATGAATCTGACCTAGTAGCAAGACCCTGAACACCCTGTAGACCCTTCCCTAAAATACAAAAAAAATTTTAAAAAGAAATATGTTTGTCTTATTGGGGATTTCCCTATTTTTAAAGAAGAGGGGCTGGGGAGATGGCTCAGTGGAATAAGCACTTCCCTGGCAAGCGCCAGGACCTGAGTTCAATCCCCGGTTCCACCAAAAAAAAAAAAAAAGAAGAAGAAGAAATAAGTGAATTAAAGCTTATTAAGGATAGTTACACATTTAATCTAAAAAGTATTTTTAAGGTATTTTTAACTTGAAGTATTTTTAACTTTTTTTGAGACAGGGTCTTGCTTAGTTCAGGCTGGCCTTGAACTCTCTGTGTAACCCAGCTTGGCCTTGAACTCTTGGCGATCCTTCTGCTTCAGCCTCCTGAGATCCAGATTTACAGGTGTGCACCACCACACCCAGCACTTTCTTGCATTTTCATAAGATAGCTTAAGTAATTTTCAGAAAGAAGTAGAATACAAATAAAGGTAAAGCGCTTCTCCCATAGCCCATATTATCACCACCACCATCCTGCAATTTTTTTCCTCCATTAGACAGAGGAAAAAACCAAGCCTCCGAGAAAACCAGCAGCTTGGATGGGGACTCTGATTGGCCAGCTCTTCTCTCCATAACAACTAGTATGTTCTTCCAATCCAATCCAGGAAAGTTTCAGTTCTTCCCCAGAATCTCAGTGGCATAAACAGCAAGAAAAGATTTGAAAATGGTCATGAACTTGTAGACAGCTTGATCTAATCTTGAGGAGCACCTTGCAATGGAAATCCTTAGTAAGAACATGAAATCCAGAAATCTGATTCAAAGGTGAGAGGGCACACTGGAAACAGCCAGCTGTGATGTCAGCATGGGGCTGCATAGATATTAAGCATGGGAGCTTCATTAATAGAATGTCCCTTAAGGAATCGACACAGATAGCTCTTAGGAGGTACTATAAAATACCAGTGTCCATGGGTGATAAGTGGCTAACATCTGTAAAGATCAATTTTTTGAAAGCTTTTATTTATTTATTTATTTATTTATTTATTTATTTATTTATTTATTCCAGGGCCTCACTAAGCACAGCATCTGGTACCGGGGATCGAACCTGGATCCTTGCGCTTGCCAGGCAGGTGCTTAGACCGCCGAGTTGTCTCCCTAGTCCAAGATCACTTTTAGTCATCTTTTTTTTCCCCTGAATATCTGGCCCTCATTTCCGGTCACCAAAGGATAAAATAAAGTGCCTGTCTAGAATGTAGACAAAGTTTTGGAAAGCAGAGGCTTTGGGGTAAAATTTCTATTTTAAAATCTCTTTCATCAGAGGCTGTATTCCTCTACTGCGGCCTCCAACGAATGGGGTAATTACTCTTTATATACAGTATATGACCCAAAACTACAACGGGGAATGGAATTGCTCTGTGCCGCACTCCAATATTTCATACATTTTCCCCCAATGTTCAATACTTTATTAGCAAGGAATAAATTGGCACATTCCTTTTATTATTGTATTTGC